TTCAACGCATAAATTATGTTAGTTACTTCTAAATAGGTATTGTATCGTTCGAATTCATTTTTATAAATGTTTAAATGTCTTTAGATGCTGTCTGGGTATTCCCTAAGAACGATCTCATTGATAACGAACGCAGTGTTTATCCAAAAGCCCCCGTCGTTTGGAACAATCGCATTTCCTTCGAAAAGTTGAGCAAAAGTTTTAAGAAAAGAAAATCCATCAATTCTAATCCACAGATTCGTGTGGTATTTTGATTCACTACACGCTGGAAACAAATTTTATCACCAATTCATGGATTTTTTCAGTTGCATCGACAGCACCATTAAAGATTTATAAATCCACGTCGATAAGATAGTTACTCAACGAGCCGTTGTATTGATAAAATGTTTACTCCTCAAATGTCCTTTCAAATATCTGTTTACTAGCACTCTAGTGGTGGTTAACACAAGTCTTAATTTCCCGCCAACTTTTGGTGTAGTTTAAATATTATTTTCGATTACTTATTATTGTTGGAAAATCGTCAATGTTTCATGTATTAATTACAATAATAAAGTGTTGTGTTAATTATTTACATTATTTTAATTTTAATAATTATAACTATTTATTTATTTTATTATAATTTGAGTTATTGTAAGTATCTTTCATTTACCCATACCTTTTATATTATATATTATACCTTATATATTAGTTGAATAATATCTTTGATTCAAAAATTATTTAAATTGAAAATAATACCATGAAGCTGTAGTAAACCCACGTATTGCACATGTGTCCCTTGTATTCACACTATGTTATGTAATTCCAAAACCTGTTTGTCTAGATACTAAGTGTGTTTATGTAAAACCTAACCATAATTATTTAGCTATAAGTAAGACGCAATAACTCTACTCTACATACGAGGAATTTGATTTTACTTTTTGCAAACATAGCCGGAGTCTCCTTTTCTGTCCCGAAATAAATCCATTGCATCCTAGGAATGCCAGGCTCATTTGTGAAGTGTCACTGCTACAAGAACCTAAAGAAGTACCGGACAGCTGTAATGAGATTCATTTTCAGTTAGCCACTACAATTTTCTACAAACTCAAGCTCAAGAATGCTTGGTTATATGCTACCAACGGGGAACACATTTTTATAGCATGCGACAACGAAGAAGAGTCCGAAAATCATTTGTTGGACAACGTGGGATTATTTACGTTAAACGAAACTTGCAGAGCTTTCGCCACACGTGATATTCTCATACCAAGCAAAATAGAATCGCCAGAAAACTATAAAGATTGTGTTCCAAGGTCCATTCTAAAAGAAATGGGAAACTCATCAACAAGCAACATGGAAACTAACATACTGGAATCGAAACATTTAAGAACAAAACAGATGTCGGACCTACATGCCGTGGCCATTCCCAGTAAGAAATTGCAAGCTGACACAAGACAGCAATGAGAGTCGCTGTTTTAACAAAGGTACAAAAACGGCATGATGTCCTACTATATGTCACCAGCGTCATCGCGGTGGTGGTACTCGTAGCGGGCATTGTGGACTTCATAAAAGGCAAGTCAAGGTACATACTTTCCAAGTGCCGGTCACAAGAAGAAGAGGGCTCTCCACAGCCGCTATTTCAACTTCAGGCGACGGCCCCTTCTGATACAGTGTCCGACGTACTGTTGTCAACCCATATGGACAGGTCTGAGCATTCCACTTCTATAATATATCCCAAACTAAAAACCAATTTCTAACTTACTCCGGGGACGTTTATCTTATGGGAGAGGAACGTAGTAAACCCACGTGTGTTCCTATAAGGGCATGTCCTCCTTGCGTCTATGCATTGTTAGAGTGGCGGTGTCGTGCAGTCAGTAGTCGATTACCGACCGATCATTGTACTACTCAGTTTTTATTATTATATGAACTTCAAATTTATTAAATACTTATTATATTACTAATGTATTGGATTACTTATTATAATATTAACCAATTACTCTATGATACTTTTCTTTTAATTATTATATATATATTACAGTTAACTAAAAGGTGTTCAACTTCATTCAACAAAACCTACTCCTAGTTTTCCGTTACAAACGTTGGTCGTTTACAGTGTTTTGCACACGGTTATTCGACAGGTGTACTATAAAGCTTATACAAATTAACAGGTAAATTAATTGACATAGTCGAAATTTAGCATGTACAGACATAAGTTTCGTTGAAGCTTTACACTAGGTAGTACGTTTAGCAATTTTGCATAAATTTATTTTTTAATAATATTCATTATTAAAGTTATAATTAACTGTATAATAAATATTAACTTGTAAGTTTTTTTTAAAAAAACATACTTTAATTTAGTTAACTATAAAAGTATGAACAGTGAACACATGGCATAATGTTATAATAATATAACAAATCACAACTATGCTGTAAGCTTCCATTTTACTATTTAGACAAAGATTGCCATACCCATCTTCAAGTTTTTTTAGTATAATACAATTAATCATTTTAAGAAAATGCGTGATTTCGTAATTAACACTACAACAATCATTATTCTATATATTTTCATGTATAAATATATACAGTTTCGCTTAATGAATCTGTGAAATGAACTAAAGCGATTGAACTACATAAAAGTTTTTTTCAAACAAACACTATAATAGTTTTTATAAACGTCGCATAAATTAATATTTTATAATTTACACTATTATTTAAAATTGACCGGCGTTGTAAATGAAATAATAATTGAAATGTACAGTAGTCGGGTTACAAAAATCTAATATTGATAATGATTGAAATGTTTGTGATAAAAATTAATTTATCCATGGAAATTCATGGAGTATAACATTATCAGACTCAAAATGGTAGCGGTTCGACCCGGCAACGCTACAGTTGGTTCACAGCGGCCGCCGTCTCAGATTGTCGGTTTATCAGTATAAAAAAAAATACACATTTTTATGAATTTTGCAGCGTCGTGACTTGTCGTTTGTCATTTGTTAAATAGTAATAGTAACTATTAAGTTCGCGTGTATCTCTGTACACACTTCGTAACTTTAAAAATAATAATTTGCGTTCGTCTTTTGTGTGTTAACGAGAGGTTTTTCGATTAGACGATTTACCGGTGTTGTACTTGACGAATTGATCGTAATTGATGTTGTAATATTGGAAACGTAGAACGGCCAAAGTGTCGTTTGTGCTATTATTATAATGTTCATGGCCGCAGTGCCGTTCTAAATATTTTCGAGTGTGTTTAGGGTTTCACCGTTTGGCGTACACTCACGGCGGCTTGGCCGGACACAGTTTCTCGTTTCTGTGTACCGATTATATATTTTGTATTACTTATGAACTTGACCGGAGTATAAAATGGTCGTTTTTTGGTTTGAGTTGTGGAAAGTTACACAACGGGGTATTATGAAGTATGTGTTACTTTGTTGGTCAAATAGTTTTTAACATAAAAACCAATTAGTTTATACAACAAAAAACACTGTTGTTAACAAGTACACGTCTGCGCAATAATATATTTTGTAATTTACAAAAACTGGTAGAGCGTTTATTGATACATCTGTAAATATATATAACCACTCGTGTAGAGATTTTAAAATTATTCTTTTAATTATATAAAGAGCCTGCGACGGGTGATGTTAGGGAGGCTCACAGAAATGTGATTCCCCTAACACACGTTGTTTTAATCGAATGTTACTTTAGTAAGTAGACCGGTATTTTAGCCCTTTTTATTTTCCTGCATCTAAATTAACTATTGAAATAACAAATTAAAAAAAAAAAAAATATATATATATATATATAGATATTACTTACAAATGAATGAACTTAGTAAAATTGTATTCATTAATAAAGTAAATATGTTTTTTTTTTTAATATAAATTAAAATCCTTAGATGCTCCGCCAAAGACTAGGGCTCGACCCTAAGGTTGGTGAACCTTTTTTTGTAATTGCCAGTAAGGTCGGTTGTTTCTCCGCCGGAACACATACCATTTACCTTACACTGGCTTAAAATGACATGAAGCAAATAAATCATATGCTCATATCATAAATTATATACATTAATATTACAAAAATTGTAGTGAAGGTAATTTCTATTTATTTGCCTGAGCAGATAAAAAACATTTAAGATAATGCTAAAAGCTTTTCAGTTTTTAGTATAACAATAGTCAATAGTTATAATAGAAAACTATTTATTCAAATTGTTTCATGTTTAAAAGTATGTAATTATCTTAAAAATATTTAGTCATTATATTGGAGATAAAACCTAAGGTTTTTTGGGCCAAATGCACTAATAACCATTAACAAATTAACGGGAAATCTCTTATTGAGCTCAACATTTATTTTATCTATAATAGGCAGATAAATGTTAATTTTTAAATCAGTTTTAGAATCTAAAATTGTATTTTCTAAATTACCTTCAGCTAAATATTTTTCTAATTGTTTAAAAGTAGGTACCTTGTCTAGTATTGGTCGTAGTCTTTGTAAAACAGTTTTAAAATTTCGGCCGCCATTTCTCTAGGCACACGAAATACATATTCCTGATTACAGAAGTCGCATACTCCTTGAGGGTTAATCCAGTTGCTCTTGTTGCCTAACCTAACCTCACTTCTCCAGCTTCATTTTGTTCAAGATGGACTAGCTTTCCCATGGCACCATAAAATACTATGGCAACTAAAATGCCTTACTAGAACAATAAAAGAAAACTAATTATTAAATCACAATTATTTAAATAAGCAGTTACTATCTTATAGTAGATTGAGACCCTATGTCTGACTAGTTAATACTATGACAATATGATTACGACCCTAATATATTTTGTATTCACAATGTTTAAAATACAAATGTATAATAAATTCAATAATTTAAGGGGCCAAATTCTCTATGAATTGTTTTAGGCCAGATATTATGAAAACACTAAAATATTAGCTAGAAACTTGATATGTTTACTAGCCACTTTAGATACATAAAAATGTATCCCGTGGTGTTGCGGACTCGTACGCAAGCTGTTAAAATATAATATGTAATACCTATGTGAAAACCTTTAATGGCTTAAGTTGAATGTCAGTTTCCTCGTTGGGTTCTTGGTCAGCTTCTACATCAGTTTCCATGTCAGATGGTTCTTTAATTTTTTTGTTCTAATAATTCACAAATAGTACACCGATAACACATAGAAATACAGAACTTATATTTATAGATGTAAAATATAATAATATAGTGATGTAAAATTCAACAGTCTCACAGAACGAAGAACGACAAACTGCTGGCCAGGGTTGAGGGCTGCTAAAACAAAAATACTAAAAACACAAATCAATGCGGTTAACAAAAATGAGATGTACGTGGCACTTTTATTTACATAGTGTGTGTGTGTGGTTCTTATAGATGTTGTAAAACCGATGGGGACGGTCAAACTTGCACGGTATCGGCCTCAACAGCCTCCGTGATAGCCGACCGTTACCTGCAATAATCTTTTTTTTTTCGTACCCTCTGTAAATACATTTTACTTCAATAATTTTGATTAATGATTAAAAAACAAATAATTGTTATATTATGACTTTTTATGTTAACAAATTTTTGACTACAGATTTTTGAGGAAATTCTATATGCTATAACCCCATTCTAGATATACCATTGGCCTAAATTTCATACATAAACCACTAAAACTTTGCATGAAAAAACGAAAGAAAGAAAAAAATTCCACCACTTCCAGGAGAAAGGGTGTACGATAATTGTTTAGGTTGTCAACGTTTGTCGGTAGCACGATGTATTAAAGAATATTCTGTACAAATTTGCAACTAATTGGACTGTTTAGAAAAAAAATATAGAGCGCTGTAATTATAAGTTGAAAAAAGCTGCTATACGAAGAAATTGGTTCAGTGGCTTAAAAGATATCGTTAGTACAGACACAAAATATAAAAACATCATTGTAAATACAATACCTTCTCAGCTATCTCATCGAAGCTAATAACATGTTAATGTTAGATTAAAGTTTTGGAAAAATAAATAAATTGTTTATACAACTTATAGAATGATTCAAAAACTGGTTAATTAACTGACTCGACAGATCTTTACATTAGTTTGTTGTTTAATTTTAGAAACTAGTAAACTAATGTTCAAACTATAATGACAGTACAGTGGAAAAAGCAGCTAACAGTAAATAAACATAAAATATAATAATATATGCTCTTTATTATTGGATGAAAAATAAGTTATTCAGATTTAAATTCTAATAATGCTCATAAATATATATTGCACGTATTGCATATTACAATGACGCTATTTTATTTATTTCCTAAGTGTGCATTATATTAAATACAATGCGGCGTGCCAGTCAGTGGTAACTGTTTTATGACTGGAAAATTCAATAATATATATACATAAATATTTATGTATATTTCATGTCTAATCAGTGTTTCTTTCAAAAAATTTTCTCCGGGGGGGTCTTTATATTACATTTAAAAATAATTATCTCTGTTATTATGATTGTGAACAATATAATAAAATACACAAAATTTCATAGTTTAACATACACACATAGTATTATAATATATAAATGTTATTTTTAAAAACACAATTAAATTAAATATACATAAACAAAATAGCCAATAAACCTTATTTTTAGTTCTACATTTTCAAAGGAACCGAATTCGGCGATTTTTTTTAGCTGCATACAAATCTACCATTTTGTCCAAGAAATCTTCTGTTGGAACTTCAGGCCCTTCAATACTAATCAACATGCTATACTTTAAAGTTCCCGGTAGCATTTTTTTTCTTGTCTCCGTAAGAACTCTGTTCATTGTACTGAACGATCTTTCAACCGAAGCTGTCGTAACAGGAATGACAAGAAGAATTTCACAAAGGTGTTGTAACTCGGTATATCCCATATCAGCTTCCATGATTTTATTCAATGGACTTTCATGTGCCTTGTATATACCACTATGAAGCATAGTTTTTATAAAAAAAATTAAATGACTTCATGTCCACCAGTACAGCTTCCGCATTAAGCATTGGAAAATAACCACAAATTTTTTTTAATTCAATACAAATTTTTGTATATCAATAAAACACTGGAAGCTCTCAAAGTGACTAGCAAATGTCACAATATCAATAGATTTGACGTTGAATCTGTTTTCAATTCTCTGATTACACTTTCACAATACTCCTTCATTTTTTTCAATGTTGTTTTTGCATCTTCATCAGCAGTCAAATTTATGGGTACTTAAAATTTAAAAATATACTGAAATAGAAATAAACCATTTGAAGCGCACAGCAGGAAAGAACGGTAGTAGTCCATTTATGAAATTTTTTTTTTCAATATATTCCATTAATTTGTTTTATTTATATTACTAGATTGTTTAAATAAATACATTTTTTATTAGAATAGCACTTAATGTGAATTTTTTTGTTCTTATGTAAGAGAGAGAAGAATTCACGAACTTTGTTTTTGCTATACTCTAAAATTTTCATAAATAGACTACTACCGTTCTTCCCCTGTGCCCTTCATTTTGTTGAGTAATAATCTATAACATACCTAAAGGTTGGAGTTATTGCAGTAGATAGATACTTGTCAATTAATTAAAATTAAAAAAAAAATACAATTATAATTTGATTTTCTATTGTTTAGTACAAATTGCAATCAGATACACAAACACAATACCTAGTCAACACACTTCACCGTTAAAAAGATATGCCTGAAAGAAACACTGTGTCTAATATAAAAAATCCAGTACTGTGGGGACGGGGAGATCACAGGCCTACAAGTATTATTACAACTTAATGTGATGAAATCACCTTCAAATAAAGGCTTCGATGCAAATCTGTGGATAGTAAGTTCAACTCGGTACAGTCGAAACCAAGCACAGTATAAACCAGTACAGTAAGAAACAGTAATACCAAATAACTCATTGTAATATATTATTTTTTATTTATTACATAATATATTATAATAAAATGGCATTCTGGCAATTTATAATATTATAAATTAGACAGTATATTTGTATCTCGACGGATCTCGTTTGTTTAAAACTCTGAAGTCTTAGGTTTTGTCCACTGTTTTTTGTACTTTTTCCGCATCCAAGAATTGGTTCTGACTTCCTCTAAGGTCAATCGGTGTTCCAAAGGTACGAATATCTGCATCAAAAGTTTTTTGCACTTTTTCGACACTTTTGGCTTCACTGGGAACTGAACTCCACGTTCAATATCCTTGTAGACAAACAAAACAAAAAAACGTTAAACATGCATTAATTCCAAGTACTATAATAAAAATACTTTTAAGAAAATATTATAATATTTATTAAAATGTTACATATAAAATTATTGTGGCATAAAATAGTTGGAATGTGAAGCCTATACAACTGGTAAGTGGTAAATAACGCTTAATATTTTGCTAGTGCTGAATTTCATGAACTGACAATAACATATTAATCTACATAACAAGTAGAGTTCTGACTGGAGTAGCTAAGTTTTAAACTTTCTATTATAGTTACATAAAAATAATATGAAAAAAAACTCGTTAAAATAAAATAAAAATATAGATTTTTAGGAAAACTGACACAGTTTAGATGTTTCATTATTATTATTGACCTTATTTATTAAAGAGTTAAGTGTATTGTTAGAGTTAGGGGCGTTAAGAGGGCGTCGCACCGCCCATTTTTAAGGAGTAAAGTATAGGCAATTTTTTACAAAATATTATTTAAAGGTTATACTGTGATGTGTAATTATGAGTTCAATAACTAGGACTCTATTTTGGTAGTTAATTTATTTTTTGGACTTTCACAGCATCCTTGGAAGCGATTTAAAAATGTTTTTTCATCTCTACTTGTTTAAGCAGACTGAAAATAACTCGCTTAATTTTGGATTTGGAGTAAAAGCACCGATTATGAAATTAAAAGAGAACAATATTTCGGAGGGCAATACATAGTTTAGAAATAACGACTATTTTAACATTTTTTAATGACTGTAACTTTTCAAATATTTAATTTTTTTAAAAAACGCACCGTCTTGCCCTCCGGAATATTGTTCTCTTTTAATTGTATAATGGGTGCTTTTACTCTAAAACCAAAATCAAGCGAGTTATTTTCAGTCCGCTTAAACATGTTTTTACCACTGAACATCACCGGTGCGACGCCCTCTTAATACTTATTGAGGATAAGAAATTAAGAGATTTGATCATATAATTTTATTAAAGGGCACATTAATATAAATCATTTTTTCTCATGCTATTTTTTTCTTAAGACAGTTCTAATAACAGATTTTCTGTAAAGTAGACACTTTTTCGCGGTTTCTTTTCATCGGACGATTGTCGCCCAGCAAACGGAGCGCCCGTGACCGGCGACAGTGAGCGCTAACACACTGCCACCTTACCTACTAGGCCACTCCTCCTTCTGAAAAGGAACCGCCATTCCCCTCTGGCGGTGGACTGATGACCAGTTCCAAAGAGTGAATTCGTCAAGAAACCATCTCATGATGGCTGCGTTGGGCCTTCATGGTCCGTTAAGCTACATAGTGATGATTTTTTTCTCGCGAAAAGGGATAACTTGGTACAGTAATTAATACTTGTTTTTAATAAACAAAACCACGTGATAATAAATCGTCATAAAAAATTCTTGTTCGCAATAATAAATTAATAAAATATAATAAACTTCGTAGCTTGAAATCACTAGCATATCCTGTACATACCATAGAATAACCAATACATAACATAATCTTGTATTTTTATATTAAGCTGTATAATATAGTTTACTGTGAATTTAGTAGTATTCCTCCTGATTAAATGTATAAAAAATATGTTCATTTTATTGGGAACACTTTTACGATACTTAGTAAATATTATTGTACGATATTTTTGTGGAGATCTTACTTGTATTTCGATATTGGGATTATCGTCCCGGAATGGTAACTGTCCGTAAAGCATGGCGTACATGACTACCGAGGCGGCCCACAGGTCAGACATGTTCTGTCGATGGGGCAGACCTCGCAAGAGCTCTGGTGACGAATATGCAAAACTACCGCAAAACGTAGAGCTTTTTATGAATTGTTTGTTCGAGTCCAACATCTTATCCCTGGCCAAGCCGAAGTCCACTAGTTTAACGTTCTGACCCAAATCGTCCAACATGACGTTTTCGCATTTTATGTCTCTAAAAGGATATATTATTCCTTAATCTATTTTAAGTGGCCTCGTAGTTGTATTACTAAATATTTCATCCCTGGTTTCTTTGTGCACACACCTTCTCATTTTGTTCTTTCATGTGTTTTCTGCTATTGGCCCAACTCATAAAAATCTATTCTATATTCATTCTTTTCTGCAAACGTCCATTTCGTCATTTTATTTTACACTACAACCTTTTTTTCGCCATTATTAAACACTCACTTCTATACGTCATAGCTAGCTTTACTATAATTTCGAGTTTATGTAGTGACCCCCATATGGAATGTTCTAGATACACCGGCGACAGTATAAAAGCTAACATTACCGCTGTTATCAGTTCGCACATTCATTCATCTCACTCAATGTAAATATTCGATGCAAAAATATCAAGAAAAGCCTTCAAATTTTCTTTCACTTTATTTTCCACATTCTAGTCGTACGCCTGTTGCCTCTTCCACTTCACTTGACCGATTTTTAACACTTTTTAATGTTTCCTCATTCTTCTTATTTTGTAGCTAAATAAGAGCTTAAAGGCCCTTTGACGCAACCACCCCACCTCTCTGTCTTCTACTGCCATCTGCTGCTTTTTCGTCATTTTATGTTTAGTTGCGAATTGCTCTTGACTATTCACCAACCATTCTCCCAGAGGCTCCTTATGTCAGTGATCAATTATCAAGCGTCTTAAAAGGGCCATGGGATCGCTATTTATGCTCTACCCAACTTAAACATTTGTCCTCATCCGTCGCCACAATGCCTTCCTCAATACTAAACTTGAATTCTACGTACTCAGCTGTACTAGATCTAATTAATCCTGAGTCATTATTTCCCACCGTCTCCTAATAATCTAGTTGAATCCAATACGTGTATACGTGTATACCTGTGAACTATTCCACGTTTGTGTATGTACGACAACGCGTCCAAAATCTGACCAAACCATTTTCGCGCTGTATCCTCCGACACGTTGATTTCACGCCTTAGTAAGTCCAATAAACTTCCCTTGCCCATGTATTCCATGACGATACATACCCTATAATGCAACACGTGTGCAAAATAAATGATCGTTAATATTATTACCTAATTCTAATACGGTTGGTTGGTTATCGAGGGGGATATTCTTGGCCGCGTTCACCTGGTCGTGGTCTCGATGGCTTCGTAGTATCTGACAATGTTCGGATGTTTCAATCCTTTGACCGTGTACACTTCCCGTTTGATCATTGCCGTTGTCCGGTCGTCTTTGTTGTACAGGTCGCAGTTTTTCTTGGACAATACTTTGATGGCCACCTTCTGGTTTCTTTTGGTGCATATTGCTAACTAGATATTCAGGACAGGTAACTACTCTAGTATGAATTTGCGATAAATTCCGTGAGAACACTTATATTTTCAGGGCAAAACGCATGTTAGCTACGCGTGGGGTCTTTACCTTGACTTTCGCGAACGTGCCCTCGCCAATTGTCTCTCTGAGCAAATACCCGCGTCGTTCCAACACCGACACTGTGTTGATATTATCCGAGTTCTTTTTCATTATAATTTATTCAGGAATTTTTTTAAATGTGTACGTTAAATAATAAAATTAAACATTGGGTAATTTTGCGTTCGGTCGTCAAATCGTTTATTTACAAACACTGCGTCTAATCACATAGCATACCTACCTGTACATATTTGTAAGCAACATTTGAAATCTGTATGTAACTGTAGTTACAGTATGTTTATTTTTTACCACCGTCGCGTCGCGCCGTCGTAATCTATATTTATATAATATATAAATCCTAAATATAAATGTCAATTTGTCCGGACTAATCTTCGAAACGGATAAACCGATATTAGTGTGATTTTCACAGGCAGGTAGAGGACTTTGCAAGGAGCGATCTAAACTTCTTATTATCACAGAAATGTTTATTTGCAAATTAAAAACATATTGAATCTAAACATACCTATATGCATACATATTACATACATTTCAATAAAATAATTGTTTATCCTGGCTAATCTTCCAAACATGTGAACCAACTTTGACAGGATTTTCACAGGCATAGAGTGATCTAGGCTACTTTTAATCCCGGTAAAATGTAGTACTCAAATTTTCAGTCATACAACATATATGTGTACAGTGGCGTATTCAGATATTTTTTTTAGGGGGGGGGGGGTTAAAAAAATGTAACTTTAAATTATTTTATTTTTATGAGTATGGGCTAAAAGCCCAATGGTTACATTACAAAAATATAACTCATGTGTAAATAAAGTTTTAACATATAAATGATTACAAATAAAGGACATATTTAAAAATAATTAAAACGGTATGACTAATATATTTGAAGAAGAAAAAGATAGATCTAAATTGGCATTCCGCATTAGGTTCATTAGAAGCACAGTTAGTGGTGAATAAAGGACTATAGAATGTATAGTTATTATGAGAAGAAAAAGAAGAAACTTTAAAACTAATGCGACTAAGGAGAAAAAGTGAGTAAATTTTACATGAGAGTAATAGAAATTCTTTAATAAGTTATTAAGAAAATTTATATTCGCTTGGAGTCATCTATCGGCTAGTGAGGACAATTGCTAAGGAAAAACAACCGGACAATAATCATGGGGCATGTGATCAATTTTTAATATAAACCTGGCAAAATAAAAAAAAATACGCTGAACACGCTCTAAAAGATATCTGTGATGGATAGTGTTTGGGTCTCATAAGACCGATGCATGTTCCAGGAAAGAACGTTCTAGGGCACAGTATAATGACTTAATTAGTGTAACTAATTTAAACTGAGCACAAACGCGTTTAACAAAGTCGAGAATTTTTAGCGCCTTACAGCAAGACGATTCTACATGCGAATAAAATGTTGATTTCGAATACAAAAAATACGCCTAATTCAGTGTCCGTGTTTTCTGCGCGTTCAAGCTTAGAACCACAGTTATTATAATCAAAGATAATCGAATGACGAGATCTATAGAACGACATGTACTGCATTTTTTAATGTTGAGTGATAATCCCATGGTCGAAGCCCATAGAACATTTGCTTCAAGATCATCATTCAATTGTTTGCAATCATCAATAGAACTGACTTTTATAAAAAGTTTCAAGTCGTCAGCGAACAATAGAAAATCACATCAACGTACAACACCTTTAATGCTGTTAATAAAAAGTGAAAAAAGCATAGAAGAGAGGTCCCTTGTGGAACGCCAGAAGGGACGTCGGTAACATTAGAACGTATTCCATGAACTTTTACAAGTTGCTTTCTATTTGATAAGTACGACCTAAACCAAGACAATAACTGCTCACCAAATCCAACGTTGTTCAAGACGCATATTAGAGATTTGAGGTTCACTGTATCAAAGGCCATCGAGAAGTCTAAATAAATAACATCTACCTGAGCACGGTCAAAAAATGCAACCATTATGTATTTCGAAAAAAATATGTCGCATGTCAACGTAGAACGTCCAGGACGGAAGCCATGTTGTTCGTCACATGTTTTATAAAAAATACCAAAAAAACAATTGGAGTGACTTTACTTTATTTATTAATATACAATCATCTCCAACAATAATATGGAACAAAATAAACTCAATAAAAGTAAATCAAGGAGAAGTTGAACTAGGTTCTCTTGTCTTTGATTGTTTGTTTAATCGTTTAAATAAATATGCCCTTAGGAAAAACTTGTAGTATATGAGAATATAAATATTTAAAAGTTTAAAATGAAAAATTTGGTGATTAATTTTTTTGAGGGAAACATTAATAATAAAGTCTCTAATTTGAAGGGATTGCAAATAGTTATTTCTGCCACTATTCCACTCACACGCAGTATAGAAATATATACTGATTTTTATCAAGCAGTAATTGCGAAAAGTAAATTCTACTTTCTATTTCAATAAAAGTATTGAACAGAAGTATTGAAATAGCGGTAAAATGTTACTAAATACAGTGTAGCCGAATTACAAATCCAAACAATATTAGATTAACACTAAATAGCTGTTACAAAGCGTTTGTTTTGTAATAATTGTAATATTCTAACCTAACCGTTCCATTCAAAACTTTATACTATTCGTTGGTAAGACCTATTTTAGAATATGGGAGTATCATTTGGAATCCCTCACAAGTTGGTTCGATAGAACTGCTAGAGCGGGTTCAAATTACTATTTATAATTCAAAACAATACAATTTAATAATAACAGTAACGTTGTACCTAACACTCATCAATTTAACTTTAACTTAGATTCCCTAACTATAAGACGGCGGTACTTTAATGCATACTTTATGTACAAGCTATTAAATGGTCTCACCTCTTGTCCAGAACTTTTAAGTCTCGTCCCAATCCATATTCCTCAATACTTTTCCCGTTCCTGTCCAACTTTTTCAATATCGTCTCATAGAACTACTTTCGGCTTTAATACTCCTCTAAATAGAATGGCTATTGAAAGTAATAAATTAACTTCTTTTGATTTTTTTAAACCCGATAGTCCGGCATCACTGAAAAGCTTCTAAAAATAATAACTGTTATTTGAAAATTGTTAACTTTGCTATAAAACACTTTATATTCTAATTTTGTCTTGTTAGTATAAATTCGATTGTTTATTTTATGCTGTAATAATGTATGTTCTCTTTTCTATCTTGTAATTTAATTTATCACTATAATTAATTATTTAATTACTGTATTTGAGCCTTGGCGTAAAATCAATAAAAAAAAAAAAATAACATTTATGAATTGTGATTGTAATATTAATAATTATTCTTATATCGACAGTATACTGTTAACTGTTTTGTGCGTTGAGGTTGATCCATCAGCCGCGCAGCGTAATGCGGACTATTTTTTTAAGAGATGGTGTATTTATATGATTTGATACAATTATAATGGGGATAATTTTTTTATAAATAATTATGATAATTGTATAAAAATATTTTTTGTAATATTACCTTGTTTTTACGCATTTTGCGAATGACGTTTTTATTATGCTACATTGATGGCGGAGAAAAAAAATTAGATCGTATTCGTAATTATCCATTACGTTTTTAATAAAAACATAGTATTGAAAGAAAATCATATAGTCATAACTCGTCAAGTATGTACAACATTAATTATTAAAATTATTAATATTAAAAAATGAACACGATTATAAAAAAATTTTTATTAAAAATTATTACTCTGATTCTGAATGTGAAGATTCGTCTGTTATGGTGAGAACACAGGGTTCTAAATTATCAATTATGTTGTCCACTCGCCACATTTTATCTTCCTCTCGATTGCGTGCTTAATACAATTTTTCCAATTCTGGCTGTGCCATAACATCGTCGACTTTAAAAGTTGTATTGTGCTGTTTCACATACCCTTTTACCATTGCCCCGTCAATTCAATGGGGTTGAATTTGCAATGGTAGGGCGGTAGCCAAAGTACATATTATCGACGAAATATAACGTATATCTAGATCTGATTTCACGAACCTTTACTAGTAGTTGTGCTTTTATCATTGGTCTATTTATGGTTATGCCTTTTGAAGTTAACCACGTCAAAATTTCATCTTTTTTCCAAGCGGATGTTGGTATTTTTTCGGGATTTACCGAATGATAAGGGGCGTTGTCCATAACAATACTTAAATTTGGGTCGAGACGTGGGATGATGGACTCAAACCATTCACGGAAGTTATCCTCATTCATTTCGTCATGGTAATCTGAACTGTCTAAGAATCCTTTGTCCGACCCAATGTGCAGAATAATCAACCGCTTCCCCTTACCAGTTAGGTTCTTTGCTCCGGTTGTCAAACCTCTGTTGAACGCATCGTGTTTTGATTTTATTGTTTAATCAACCCACAATTGATCGACACAGTCACCGGCGTTTAACCACGTTTCGTCGAGATAATAAATAGAACGTTCTTCTTTTCGATATTTCCGAATATCATATAAGTAGTTATGACGCCATACGAGTAAGTCTTCTCTTTCTGTAAGTACACTGCACCTTTTTCTTTTAGTAAAGACGAAGTACAATTTTTTTATAGCCAAATATAGCGAGGTTAGTTTGAAAGTAGGAAGGCCGGAACATCGTTGACTACTTGCAGGATCTTGCCGATCGTGGGCAATTCCTTCCTTAACCAAAAGTCATGTACTTTTTGTCGTAGCGCATTCCTGTCCAAATCATCCATTCGGTCGAACAAACATTTCTTAGTGCGTGACTTATTAGGGGATGCTATATTATGCTATTGGTCTATAGGACGGTGTATCTTAGGTCTTCCTACGTTCAAGTTTATTTAGAAATCCCAAAACCATGTATAATTTGCACTGTAATGTGATGAAGCCTAAGTATGGTCGGAATATTAGATTATGTTATTTTGATATAGATTCATAATTCTACGACATTATTACAGATAAATCACAATTGTCGTGCCGCGTTCGGTATAAACACTAATCATTTGACTGTATTAACGTTTCAACATACAGTTTTTAAAAAGAGCTATCGATATTTTTTAACACACTAAAAAAACATTTAGAGTTATATTTTTGACGTGTAGTTCCACAGAAATAGGAAAATAGTTTTTAAA